ACAATCAACACGGACCAAACTTAAGTTCCGATGGCAGGATTAGCCATATCCGGTTTTGTGAAATTGATGTGGTATATATATAAAATGTGACGTATTGGCTAGTTGATGAGTCACCGAAAAAAGCTTTTTCGCTAAATTGCATTTTTCATTCAATGTGTGTCGCTGGTATATTCCGGGAATTAGAAGTAACCCTTGGGAAACGTAAACCAGGTGTTGGGAGTGCGTTTTTACGGACAAATCGATTGCAATTCTCCTCAACTTATTGATTTATTCAAGTGTGAAGTAAAGGTAAAACATTTATTTAAAATTATATGATGACTTCGTCATGTAAATGAAGCCTGAGTTAAAAATCTGAGAAGCACTGGACAGCCTGGTTAAGTCTCATCAGTAATACAAATCTGGGGATCGAACCCGAGACCTCATAGGTAGAACGAAAACATACTACCATTTTGCACCATATAAAAGCTAATCCAATATCGATCTTGATTTGAAATCAAGATTTGAACACACAACCGACTTATGATGAAACTTCTTGATATAAATCAGGAAAAAATGGTTTACAATGAAAATCTTGAATGATATTTGAACTCCTCAAAGAACACAATAACAGCGAAAAATGAGCATGATGCTTTTATCCTCGGAGGTAAAGAATGCGGATCACGTGAACCAATAAGGTGGAAAAAATTAGAGTAGTCGTATGCTGCCCAACAAAGAATGAGCATTCATCAAAGATTTAATCATACGCATAAAGCTATTTCTATTTAAGGCATTATGCACGGTTGATATATCAAATCATGATATTTGGTTGTCCAAATGCAATGAATATAATACGCTTTTGCTATAACCATTAGGTTCTGGATGAAATTCAAGCGTCATTCATGAAACTCGTATGTAGGTGTTCTCAAGTTAGCCTCAAAAAGCGTATGTGTGGTCGTGGTTGGGTGTCTAGGGATGCTACTGGTCGCCCTCCCCTGGCGCCTCGCGAAATGCTCCCATACGACCAAGCGTCTTGAATAGCCTCTGCTGAGGAGCCCTACTGACTGATTCATCACGACGCGACTACACCCTGCCGTGGTGTGACGGCTTGTGCACCTCCGTTACCCAACGAGCTACACAGGATGGCTTTATCAAGCCAAGAGTTCTAATCATGCCTGGGAGGTCAATGGGTAGAGGTCAGACGAATTTCAGTTTCCTGGTCCTCCAGGTTGGGGGGGGGTTCGACTGAAATTGATGTTTCAGTCGGTGAGAAATGGTGGAAGAATAATCAATCCAAGTAAATGGGCCTCCACTTCACCTCATCCGCCGCCTTGAGGTCAGGTTCTTATCAGAACTAAAGGCTTTGGACGAGAACCCCAATCGTTCTCCTGCTTAGTGGCTAGACACCCTAGCAGCACCCGTCCACCAAACCCTAATGCATACTCAAAACAAAAAATAATTCCATACTGCATCGGTTGTCGCGCAGGATAATCAGGACCGCGCTGCTCATTGCATCAAGCAGAGTGGGTAGTGATGAGTGGGCTACTACTCAGATATCCCAACCTTTGTTTACCTATTTGTCTTCCGTTCCCAACCCTCTCACTTTACCCCTTCTTCCGACCCGTGATATTCCCTCAGACAACTTGGTCGTCACTAGCCAAAGGTCTTTGCCAACTAGCACTGTAACTAGTTTTCCAGCAAATAAAGTGCAGATTCTGAAGCCTCGTCAAACTCTCAATCTGGGGGCTTTCAACCTGAGGACTCTTATACAGGTGGGTCCACAGGCGTGTCTTGCGCGCACAATGCAGTCTCTAGAAATCGTTGTCTGTGGCGTATCGAAGACACGAATTCAGGATCCTAGTATTATAAGCCACCTGAGTGCGCCGGGTCTGTCCTCGAATTATTTCCTTCGCACATCAGGAGACGACACAGCCCGCTCTCTGGGTCAGTGTGGTGCATGTATCGTACTAAACGGTCAAGCTGAAACCTCTATGATAGATTAGATACCCGTCAATAGTCGTCTGTGCGCAATGAGGCTACAGGGATCAGTTAGTATTCGGAAGGGTAGCAACACTAAAAGGTGTTTGTTCATAATTTCTGCGTACGCACCAATCAACTGCAGTCCCGTACTCAACTTGTTCCCTTTCTCCCCTTCTTCTAATCTGTAAAATAGTCCCTCAAGCAACTTGGTCGTCACTCGCCAAAGGTCTTTGGCCAAATAACACTGTAAGCGATTTACCGCGGAATGAATGGTAGACTACAAAGCCTCGTCAATCACTGAATCTGGGTACTTCGATGCAGGTAGATCAACAAGCTTGTCTGGCGTAGACGCGACGTGTCACTGAAATTGAAAGGTCGTGTATATTGTGCTATCGTTCGTTCAGTTCTGCTTTATGGTTGTGAGACCTTGAATTTGCGAGTAGAAGATATCCGTCGACTAGAAGTTTTCGATTATTGGTGTTTACGCAGTTCAGCCTATGTTGGATGGAGCGAACGGGTCAGTAACGTGGAGGTAAGCCGTCGTGTGTTTGGGAATCTATCAGATATAAACCTGCTATCACACTGAATTCAGATTAGTAGATTTCGCTGGCCAGGGCACATATTGTGTATGCCCAGCCATCGTCTGCCGCACCGCGCTTTTTTCGGTGTAGCTAATCCGGGCTGGAGAAAACTACGTGGAGGTCAATAGATGACGTGGAGACGAGGCATGAAGAAATGCACAAAGAGTTAGAGTAGGTGTTGGGGTCCGGAAGACTCCACAACTGGTTGGTTGGAAACATTGAAGGATATGGCAGCGAACCGGCAGCAGTGGCGTTCTTGTTATCGTTTATCATCTGGTCAGAATGCTTAAAACGGTATGTATGCAGAGTTCGATTGTTTACTCTGTGTGTTGACCATGGTGGCTCACCTGCTCCCCC